GTCAAGTCAAGGTCAGAAAATTTTGACGCAATTGAATAGCTCTCATCAATTTGTTACTTTGTATGACATTTAATGATAGTATCATGAACTGTTTCTTTGAAAGTAAGCTAAATGCAAAATGAGAAATAGTGGGATAAAGGTCAAAGAAAATATAAAGGTCAGAAAATTATGACACAGTTGAATAGCATCCACCAATAAGTATCAGTGTAAGAGAATAGGTGAAAATACATGTATCTTGAATAATTACGTTGAAACTGAGCTCAACTCAAAATAAGGAATAGTGAGGTCAAGGTCACAGGAAAAGTCAAAGTTAGAAAACTATACCAAAGTTGAATAGCTCTTACAAACATGGATCAGTGTAAGAATTTTGGTTAATATATCTTGAACAATTTCTATGAAACTGACCTAAGTGTAAAGTGTGACAGATGGAAGGACAGTTGTGAAGAAGGGTGAAAGGAAGGAAGATGGACATGGGACTATATGCCTGGTCATATTCATGACAGGGCATAAAATGAAGGAAAATTCTTGAGGCTGCTCACTTTTGACCTTTACTGAACACATTGTAAAATGAGCAACATGCACTGTGCCATAGTATTTACTTAATGTAATGGTATAAGTATGTACAATGTAATTCTCCACCAGTAATTAGCCCAGTGAAAGGACATCTGGTATCAGCATGCAAAAGTGATTCTGTCATGATGCTCTCCATAACCTGGTGTTTGGTAATGTCATGTCTCTGCAAATATTTTCTTCCTTGGGGAGCATATGACATTAATTATATCCTTTTAATTACTATTTTATACTTTTCAGGGATCATTGTGCTGTCCTAGCAGAAGTATTTCGCAAAGTATGCTTGTATATCACATTTTGCCAGTGGTGTAATTGTATTTCCTTGACCATAACCTTAACCATTAATGTCCTTATCTTGTACAGTTCAATAGTTAATAACTACTGCTACAATTTTAACATGTAGAAATACTCATTAAATGACAAGACCCCAAGACAAAATGTTTCAGTCCTTTAATCCCAAGGGTAAAACAAAAATGGCAAAGAAATTTAAAAGGGTTTTTTTTTTTTTTTAAAAAAGTGTCATTTTCTTTGACCTTCTTGACATGACACCTAGTAAAACACAGAACCATCTTGAACCCAGTGGGTACACAAGAGAGATGGTCTGAGTACACAGAGACACATAATACCAAGCTTATCTGACTCTCATCTGTCCCTCAGCATTGGCTGTGTCTGTCACTCTATACCCTAGGACATCTTACAGACCTAGGATCCCAAATTACTATACCCTCAGTTACACGAAAAATGACACTCCAAAGAAAACGGACAAGTGAAATCAGAAATGAAAAGTGCTATTAATATAAAATAGTGAAAAGTTAAAAAAAAAAATGCTTGAGAAGCACAGGTAATTTTCACCATCTTGTAATCTAATACTGACCAATTGTAGATTTGTCAAGCATGTCCATTTTGGTTTGAGACACAGGATTAAACTAAAAAAGGTTATTTTCTACATTATAGAGCTACCTATTAAGTTAATACCATAAAGTAATTCCTATCATTTAAAAATAGAAATATGTCCATAGGACATGAATGCCCTGCCCAAGGCAACATCAAGAAAAGAGGTGAATCTGAATTGATTCATCCCATCCATTATCTTACAGCTAAATAGTCTTATTGTTTCAAGTTCTATGTCATATTTAGCAAATTTATATATGATATATAGAAAAAAAATGCTCTTACAAAGTATTACTGATGTCATGTATGGATTTTTCTTTAAAGTAATCCTTTATGGAACTGAATAAGATGAAGTGGAAAAATGTAAAATTTAAGTCCATAGGGAAGGACAAGTCAAAGAATTTTCCACACACTTTGATTGCTCTCTCTCTCTCTCTCTCTCTCTCTCCAATTTGTTTCAGTAAACAAAGTTTGATGAAATGTCTTGAACAGTTTTTAGAAACTAAGGTAATTGCAAAATGAAAGAAAGGTGAGGTCAAGGTCATTAGAAAGGTCAAGGAAAGAAAATGACAAAATTGAATTTGTTTCACCAGTCAGAAGACTCTATAAGCTCCAGCCATATTCATGGCAAGGCATAAAAATTTCTGTCATACATCATTGAAACCCCATTATTTGACATTTTCTTCTTCAAGCCCCTCCATCTCATCCCACCCTTTCCTCATTACATGGCTTATGAAGTATTTATGGAAAAATAACTCAATGTGTAAATAATGCTCAGCAATTCCCCAAAATAAATGTCATGGTGAAAAAATCCATAAATTTAAGATTTTTCAAATTCTAAGAAGAAAATGATAATGATCTAGTACAATTTACGGTTTAACTTCTATGCCAATATGATACTTTTATGTAAAAAAAGGTTATTTCAAATTCATACCTACATGTTTGAATCTCTTGAAATTTAATTCAGTAATCTGCATTAAAATGTAGAGCAGAATATATATAATTTGGTAATGAATGGGTGCATGGTGCTCCAGAGAGAACATATGATTGACATACATAGATGTAAAAGGAGCTTCACCACATAAAATTTGAATACTGCTGAATTCTGGCTGTATTTAGAATGCTGCATCATTATGTACAACGGGGTGATGGGGTACATAGCCATGATCTGTATGATTGGGTTCAAGATGCAATAAATCTTCACAATATATCTTGTCAGTCTCATCCCTCTAAAATATTCATTATTCATGGATATGTGCATTGTCTACATTAAAAGACGACAAAAAGAGAGGCATTACATAACATGGACATAAGATGTCCTATTTAGATATTGGCATGTTTAGATATTCCAAACTTAAACCCCTGCAATACTTTTAAGTGTCAAAAATCCAATAAATTCTGTAACCTGATTCCCTATTAACCCACTGACATAGAGAAGTGGGCAGCTGAACTCAATCTTTTTCGAATTCACACTGCAACATTTCAGCAATGCTTGTAACCACACAGCCTCAATGAAAGTGTCAAGTATTCCATCCTATCTTTTTTATTTGACTTTCAGAATGTCTTTTCACCAACGCTGAAGATGTCCTTTTATTGCACATGATAAAATACTTGCATCTGATACGGCTTTAATTGTTTAACAGATAGTTTAGGGTGACATCTAGACATTAAGCATACAAAATGAGATACTTGATCATCATGAGGCTGAAAAGGTCAGATTCTGACAATAGAATATATCAGACGTAGAAAAAGTTTTGCGTTGTAGAGTGCCAGTATTAATTTTTTGCTTAAAAATAATAATTACACGTTTTAAGCATTTCAATGTATGCAACTGTATAATTTGTAATTCAAATTCATTAGGGGTAATTCAAATACAAGAGTAGAAATTCTAGTCCTTATCTTGTATCTATTGTAACACTTAAAAATCATGTTTGCAAACATGTTATCAATGTCTCTTTCTTTAACACAAAATATATTCCGTATGAAGGTTGCTATTTAAAAGGATCAAAGTTCTGAATTTTGGAATAGAGAGACATCAGGAATGCTAGTTGCATCACAGAAGCAGTCATTTAACAATACATGAAGTAAATCTACCTTATCTTTCTAACTTACATTTACATGTAAAAGATAACATATAAACATAACATATCTTCACTTCCTTATATCTAATTTTACAATAGGTCCAACTTGAAAATAAAAAAGGAAAAAAGAAATTTAGGAAATTAAAGCAAATTGAACTGAACATTTAAACAACCTGTATTAAATTAATATGTCTGTATTTGTACATAAGTCTGGAACATGACAGAAAAAAATCTTGTATTCTTAAACTCCATGGGACTTGAGAAAAAACTTCAAGATATCCGAGGATTCGAGATATCAAGGGTAAAATACTTAAGGAATACATTTGTATGTGGTTGGATCCTACAAATCACTTTGACATGTCCACTGTATTCGAGATACCGAAGTTCAAAAGTACTTATATTCTAAATACTGGTGGCCATTAGGTCCAATGTCCACCTACATCACCACCCATAACTTTAATAACCATATTCATAAATATGTGTGGTCCTATGCATTATGTATGTATAGCCACTTTTTGTGCCCTTAAACTTAACCAGTTATGCTTTCAGCAATTTTAATATACATGTACAAAGTACCGATATTACATATTTGTTAAACAAAGTAAAGCCTTATTGTTTTTGAGGAAATGTATATAAACTTAGCTTATAGTTTAAAGCCCTTGAGGTAGTCCAAAGTTAGTTCTAAATATCATACATTGAACAAACTTCAAAGTACACTACACTGGAATGCTCATCTAGCAGTTAGAAAAGATTTTTATATGTTTCTATGTGAAATCTTTGATTCCCCTAAAGTGGCCACCTTAGGAACCGAAATTTGGGGGAAAAGAAATCTATAAAATACAGAGAAGCTTGCATATTTGTTTGACTTATTGTATCCTTGCTAGTCTGTATAACACGATCCTTAGTTTTTTTTCTATACTCCTACTAAGGTAAAACTTGAGTGATCTTTACCAAAGGTGTGATAATTTGATGGCATGGTCAGGTGCTGTTATAGGACCATTGACATTCGAGAATAAGAATTCAATGCTTATATTTAAATTCTCTAATTTTCTCTTCATAATTGTTAATTTCATTAATCTTGATTATGAATTTAGCGCCTATCAGAACTAGTGTGCTTAATAGACGTAAGAGTCATTGTGACGTGGAAAGTTAAATAATGCAAATGAATATTGTGAGGGAAAAAAATTAATTAATTCCAAACGTACAATTGTTACATTTTTACAATAACTTTATAGAATATTTTTTTTAATTAAATTTGAGCCAAAACAATATACATTTTGGCATTCCTACAGTATTGAAAATTCATATACCGATAGTTCCTACTGTGTATTCAAATGCACAGTGACAATGTTTCATGTGTGTTATAGAGTATTGCATGTTGTAGATTTCCAATGAATTTCATTAAGAAAATTACACTGAATGTAAATATTGTTACATGAGCCTGACCACTTCACCTACCACAAATCCTGACTGTTTTGTCCTTATGCCATTTTTCTTCATGACACACTTCATTCTGAGGTAGAATACTCTGTTATCATCAAGATGTGGGACATGTTTATCTGAAAGTATATCAAGTTTACATAAGATCAGGTCTTCTTCAATTTTTATTTTACAATTATGCTAAGAGAGGTAACTCTTTAGAACACTTAAATAATGTAATTCATATCACCTTAGCTCAAATTGCAGCAAAACAAATAACAAAAGAAGAGAAAAATTAAAGGGATTCATAATTTTTATTATGCATGACATATAAAACTAGCAATATGTCCATATGCAGTAAGTCATAAATGCTCCACTTTAAAAAGTTTTGTTGATGAATCCTTTTCTATAAGCAAGATAGAGGTTCATAACACAAAATCTAGAAGTGTGAGGTAAATAAAGTTAAAGGTCAGCATGGTTGAAATGCTCTATCCAAGATGTGCCTGTTTGTTACATGCAAAGTGAGACTTACAGATTCTAGAATGCATGGGATTTAAACAATAAAATGCTTTCTTTGGTTGTTAGTAGGGGAATTAATGTCACAGCTGTTGCAGAAAAAATACATAACCTGCATAAGCGGGCTATGTAATTTTTTTCTGCAATAGCTGCAACATTCAAATCATTACAGGTGATATGCTTAGTGTTGTTTACTGACTGATAAATGGCAAAAGTTTTCTTATCAAATAAAGGAGAAAATATTTAGTGGATGTAAATATGACAAAATGCATGATGGATATGAAGACATTATATGTTCCTCTTTCTACGTGGTGGGGCTTATAAAAGCCTTACCACTATTCTCCTGGTTGAATTGGCAAGAACAATGCATTTCACAAGGTTTGAGGTTGAATTGTTTCTTTAATTCTGGTATATCACTGGGGTGAATCAAGTTAGTCACCTTCTTACCAAGAAGGAAAGCCTGAAAAACAATATAACAATTATCAATATAATTTTTCAGAATCTACATTGCCTGGGGATGCTTCCATTCCAATATGGTTAATCATGCCTTTGCAATTCTTGAAAAGAAGATTTTTAAATATTGTTTCTTACATATTCCTTTGTAAAACTTTGATCATCCATTGTGTCCCCAACCTACCCCCCAAAGGTCATGATTTGAACAAACTTGAATCTACACTACCTGAAGATGTTTCCATATCAATATGATAATCAAGCCTTTGCCATTTTTGAGAAGATTTTTGAAGATTTTTTCCTAAATATTCCTATGTAAAACTTTTAATCATCCATTGTGGCACCACCCAACCCCTAGGGGTCATAATTTGAACAGACTTAAATCTACACTATATAATGAAGCTCTCACATAAGTTTCAACTCTTCTGGTCCAGTGGTTCTTGAGAAGATTTTTCCTATATATTCCTTTATTCTTTTGTGAAACTTTGATCCCCCATTGTGACCCCAACCTACCCCTGGGGGATCTAGAATGAACAAACTTACATCTACACTATGTAATGAAGCTTTCACATAAGTTTCATCTTTTCTGGGCCTGTGGTTCTTGAGAAGATATTTTGAAAGCTTGCCATTTAATTTTCAATTATTCTTAATTATCTCCCCTTGAAAGAGGGTGTGGCCCTTCATTTCAATAAATTTAAATCCTCTTTACCCTAGGATTCTTTGTGGCAAGTTTAGTTGAAATTGTCAAAGCAGTCCTGGAGAAGAAGATGAAAATGTGTAAAGGTTACAACCAGAGACAACAGACAAATTTCAATCAGAAAAGCTACTTGAGCCTCTGGCTCAGGTGAGCTAATAAAAAAAATCATAGTACCAAACAAGAAGTCTGTGAGCCAGTGATCACTAGTAATACCCCTACTAGTAATATCATATTGCAGGCCTAAACAAAGAGTGTGCTAAAATTTCAAGCATCTGCAATTAGTAGTTGCTGAGAAAACTGTGACCAAAATTTGCTCTGTATGGTATGGACAGATGCCAGGATAAACAGGAAGTTGACATCGGATTCGTACAAAAACGATTCCCACTATATGGCGTGCCTAAACAAAGAGTGTGCTAAAATGTCAAGCATCTGCAATTAGTAGTTGCTGAGAAAACTGCGTCCAAAATTTGTTATGTATGGTATGGACAGCCGCACGGATAAACAGGAAGTTGACATCAGATTTGTACAAAAAATAATCCCATCATATGGCATGCCTAAACAAACAGTGTGCTTAAATTTCAAGCATCTGCAATCAGAAGTTGCTGAGAAAACTGCGACCAAAATTTGTTATGTATGGTACGAACAGACACACAGATAAACAGGAAGTTGACATCGGATTTGTACAAAAATTAATCCCACCAAATGGCATGTCTAAACAAAGAACGTGCTAAACTTTCAAGCATCTGCAATTAGTAAGTGCTAAGAAAACTGTGACCAAAATTTGTTATGTATCGTACGGACAGACGCATGGATAAACAGGAAGTTGACATCGGATTCATACAAAAATTAATCCCACCATATGGCATGCCTCAACAAAGTGTGTGCTAAAATTTCAAGCATCTGCGATGAGTAGTTGCTGAGAAAACTGTGACGAAAAAATTGTTACGGACAGACAGACACACAGACAGACAGACACACAAGGGTAAACAGTATACCCCCTCTCCTTCGTAGCAGGGGTATGATTATAAAAAAATTCCTCCTAGTAAAGAAAGACCTATCTTACTTGTTCAATCCCTAAATGAGTGGCTACACCATCTGACACATAAAGAATCTTCTTTTTACGATCCAGTAACAACAGAAATCCATTCATGGCTTCCAGCATCAGCTGACTCTCCTCCACCTTAAACTGTTCCATACCTGACAATAACATTATCCACATATATTATCCACATCTCATCCACATTTCATCTTAATCAAGCAAGGATAATTAAAAATTTATGATCAGAAAAGCTCACTTGAGCCTTTGGCTGAGGTGAGCTAAACATGGTTATTGCTAACACACTTATGAATTCATGCTTTCAGTGAAGAGATTTTCATTCCCTATAGTTTTAATCAAAATATACACTTTGCACTTAACAGACATAACAAATTGCGTTTATAAGGAATCAAATATTGTTAGCCCCTGGCACCTCCCTATGAGAAAGAGGATTTTTTTCCCTGTAATGGGGTGTGGTTCTAAATAAGACATTGGTGGCCTGCACAAGATACTGGATTAGTCAGATCACCAGATGTTTATGTACACATTAAACAGGTGACTTACCATTTAGAACAATGTGGTGTGTCCCATTCTTCTTCACTACTGGCATTGGGGGCTTCTCCTTGTCCTCTGGCTCTGAATCCTTCAGGGACAAAGTAGCCATTTCTACAATGTCATTCAATATATATAATATATACATGTATAACAATGTAAAAAATAGATTACGTTTTGTATTAAGCAATGCTTTACTGTCTCTCTGATTTCTTGATTAAATCAATTAATATTGAACAACATATCAATCTTCAGTCTCATATCTTAGCAATTTGATTTTCATATAAATAAAACAAGATGTATTTAATGGACTAATACACTGCAATTTTAGACTGCAAATAAACAAATATAATCTTACAGTTTATATGTGATTGTCTAGCACACTGCATGGCAATTAATATCTACCTCTTATAAAAACCTAGTTTTATTTTTTAATTACAAATTACCCAAATGTGCTTTGTACGTATTTAATTTGGTCTGAATGTGCCTTTAAGGGCTCTGTCTTGCTTTGGCATGCTTTCTTACAAAGCAACTTCCATTCTACATTCTTAGTATGATTGGTGTCCCCCACAGACTGCCATAGGTGCCATGCTTCATCAATGTTTGTTTTCACTGAAAAATTACTTCTGACAAAATGAAATACTGCTTATGGGGGACCACACGTTACATCTGAAAATGGACACAATCCCTCAAAACAATGATTTATTATACAAAAACACAAACAGTCCACAACTCTATATCAACTTAAAACATAATCATTTTCCTTTGAAATCAATAGGCTTAGTCCTGGTCTAATTTATAAACAATAAAAGATAGTAATGTTTGAATCTTCAGCCCAAAGATTAATGAAATTTTTGCTCTGACTACCTGGTATCTTGCAACAGAAAATTGTGTTCACAATATCATCAAATCTTATGAACAAGTAAAGCATTTTAAAACACCCATGACCTCTCAGTATCTGTGTAGCAAGACTGAGAAATAAAAGCTGAATGTTACTTCATAGTGGAACATGGTCTTCTTTGACAGAGCAGTACATTCAATCACAAATTCCAATTAATATCATCATTAATCAGCCACACAGGTTACATAGGACTTTTACATAGCAGACACGCGGAGATGTTTGGATATGGCATTAATGGAATACCAGCACTGGTTTATCATTGAATGATCGCCAAAACAATATGCCATTCTTGATAAGTTCCCATACACCCCAAGCTACATAAGTTAATCGATCTTATGTGGTACACAAAGAACTATGAACAGCTTCATAGAAATATCACTCCCTTTTCTGATAAAAATGATCCACTCATCAGTATAGTCTAATCACATATAAAGTGATGACAGTTACTTGAAACAAAAAATGACGTAGACTTCAGGACTACATGATGATCAATAAGTTCTATTCAATAATATTGTACTACAAGTAATTGCATCCAATTAGTCTCCATAAAATAAATTCAAAATATGCATATCATTTTTTCTGTTGATAGATGGGAATGCCCCCCACTGTTTAATATGTCTACTGAAACCTGCTTACAGGCTTGTAGCAACAGTTACAAAAGTGGGGGGGGGGGGGGGGGACTTCCCAGAGAAATCTGACCAAAAGGGGGGAGGGGGCAACTTCCCAAAATTATCTGACCAAAAAAAAGGCATTTACTGTCCAAATCCTGGAATTTGCCAGTGCTCGACCTTAGAACATCCGGGGGGGGGGGGGGGGGGGGGGGGGGGGGGGGGGGGGCAACCAGCATCTAAGGGAAAATTTACTATAGCAAAATACTATACTCAGAAAAAAAGGGGGGACCCCCTCCCTTCCACATTTTATGGACCTGGCTTACAATTTTTTGCATGCAAATAAATAAGTTACAGAAGTTGTCAGTTCACTGTTAATGTATGGCTATCAATCTTTATACATGTACCTAACAAACAAGAAATATCAGATTGAACATTTGAACTTTACAAGTTTCTCTAAAAAAAAATCTGTACAAACTATCCTGAAATCACAACAATAAAAATGTGTCTGTATTAATCTATACCATTATATTGTAATATAGTAAATTGTTAAACTATTTTCTGCAAGGAAATTTTAGCTAGCCCACAAACCCTCATGGTCAGTTGGCAAATTCAACAGAAACATTGTAATATCTCTTAAACAACTGTGTATGGGCAAATATAAAATAGGGAGAAATATTTTGCAATTTTAATAGGGCAAAAAATAACAAGGAGCAAAAATAACCATATATACAATATGTACATTGTATTATTTTGTGAATATTTAACAACAGTATTACTTTCTGTTGAGTATCAAATGTAGAAAGTTCATCTGATAAATTTCAGTGAGGGGTTTTTAACATGCAGATATGTCCTCCTCAGCACAATCCAAGAGATTCAGTTACACATTTCCAGTGTATGTATAGCAAAATCTTACAAAACATGAATCATGTTATAATGTTAAGGTAAGTGAAAGCATTTTCTTGTGTCTTTATCCTCAGGAAGTGCTCTATAAATCATATCAACAATGACTTGACCTTGTGCAAAAAAAGTGGATCACACTTTGTTCCTGACATGTGCTACTAGTCAACTACTACAATGTTAACAGCAAGGCATCAAGGTGAACCTTGCAGACAGCTCCCCAAGAACAAGGCAATGCTTAACTTGAACCTACTACTGTTCTCCAAGAACAACGCAATGCTGCTGCTCTCTAAGAACTAACTTAAAAGAGGCCCATGGGCCACATCACTCACCTGAACACTTTGGATAGAGAAAAGCAAAAAATAATTCATTATTGAAAAGTTTAATATAAAGGGGTCCCCCACCCTATCCCAGGTGGGGGTAAGGGAAGGGGAAAAAATTGAACAACTTGATTCTACACTAACTGAGGATGCTTCCATATTTATTCTTATTTTGCAACTACTGCTTGCATTGGCCAAATGAAGGTAAACTTATAAATCAAAGCTATATTCTGTCAATGTGGAAATATAGCCTCCGCAGCATTCTGATGTCTTTAAAAGCATTGTGACGTCATATTTATTGCATTGTTTGCATCATAGAATCATAGTTCCAACTGCAGAAATGTGTATAATATTTTTGTAAATAGCTTGTTTTGGTGGTCAAGTGTAAAACTTTGTTGCATGATAAAATGCTTTAAAGATTTTTCCTATATATTTCTGTGTAAGACTTGAATCACCTAATGTTATCCAACCTTAGCCCTAGGGTTATGATTTGAACAAACTTACATCTGAACTAAGTGATGAAGCTTTCACATGTATCATCTTTTCTGGCCCAGTGGTTATTTAAAAGATGCCCTTAAATTTTCAGTAATTCTTAATAATCATCCCTTGAAAGAGGGCGTTGCCCTTCATTTGAATGAATCCATTCACCCAAAGATGCTTTGTGGCAAGATTGGTTGAAATTGTCCCAGTGGATCTTGAGAAGAAGTCAAAAATGTGAAAAGTTTACAGATGACACATGACAGATGGATGCCTTAAAACCCTTCCAAAAGAAAAGCTCGCTAAAACTGAGTCTTTGGCTCAGGTGAGCTAAAAATCTGCTGCTCTTCAAGAACAAGGCAATGTTGAATTTAGACCTACTGCTCTCCAAGAACTAGATAATGCTGAACTTGAACTAAAAACCTGCTGCTCTTCAAGAACAAGGCAATGTTGGATTTAGACCTACTGCTCTCCAAGAACTAGATTATGATGAAAAATAACCAAAAACCTGCTGCTCTCCAAGAACAAGACAATCATGCTGCATTAAAGGGATTTCCTTGATATACATTTCATAGGTACTTGAATGGCACTTAAATTCACAAAACCTTAATAAGGAAGTTGTATATTCCAAGGGGCTTAAGGACAGATGATACAAACTTTTATCAAAAATCTTGAAAATAACAACTTCATAATACATGTACAAGTAAAATGAATAAGTTTTATCGCATTGCTTTTTAATTTTTAAGTCAAGACAATAACAATCAAAATAATCATTTATTTGAATATGAAACTTAAAATAATTATATTGGGGGGGGGGGGGGGGGGGGGGGGGGCAACAACTTTGATTTTATGATCCAAGGTAGTTGAAGTTTTTGAACTTGAAAATAGTCTTGTAAATACTTAATTTAAAATATGTGCTTTCTATCTAAGGAAAAAAGGACATTATTAAAGAAATCAATTCTCCTACAACCTCATCTTATAAACCAATGCTTTTTAGCATGAAATTAGATTGAGCTTGATCTTTGATATTTTTGCAAAGATACCAAATGCTATTTACATAACAAATTATGAAAGGATTGATCCCCCCCAGTAATAGAACTAAAATTCCATACATGCAGTTAAAATTATCAAAAACATGCAATTTTATCATATTCTTTTACTCATACTTCCTTAAAAAAATAAAACATTTGAGATTTTGTAACTTTATCAATAGAATATAATTCAGTAAAATAATGAACTTTCAAGAAAATTACATTGGTAGATACACATTACTTTGTAAATTCAGTCATTTTTGTGAGCATTTTCTGTTACTAACTGCTGATATTCAAAACCTAGCTGAGGGATGAGCATCCTTAAGCCATTTATAACATATATCTTAAAAAATGTATCAACACACATATCACAGAATCTCATATCATGATACACAAAGTACTGGAATATTCTAAATCCTAGTGAGATCCGATTTGCATGTCTTTCAGTGAGTGAAATAAATGCCTCCATCTTAGTTGAGTCGACTGCTTTACATGATCAGAAAATTGCCTCATTCATCACTTGAAGCATTATCAAGTGTTTAGGATAAATTTGGAAACTCCTTCTAAATGCCAAACATAATTTCTTTTTTTCTCTTTAGCAATTCCAATCACAGTCATGTCAATAAAGATTACCCAGGAGATCTATCAATTTGAATCAATTTTGTGTTTTCTCATGAGTATGGTGAAAAAAAAATAACCACAGGATTATGCATCTCAAAATATCTCAATATAAAATTAAAAAAAAAAAAACAAGAAATGTTTGTGAAACACTTACGCACCCCCCCCCCCCTTTGGACATACATTATAGGGTGCACAAGCCTTTACTATTGGCAGTCAGTGGCGGATCCAGAAGTCCACCTGGGGGGGTTTTGAGGCC